GCAGACAATCGAAACGCGCCTTAATGTACCATTAAACGATAATTCACCTATTGAACAGCCACAGCTTCGCGTCAATCATGATTATTCGTTTCGAGACAGCTATTTCGTACGAATCGTAATACGAGATCGTCGTTAGAACACACCGAAGATTATTATCGAGCATTAATTGCATTCGAACAAAACTAGTTACAATAACTGTACATTAAACTAAATTTAACTCACTGAGTTGAAAAAGTCGATGTCTTCCGACTTTTATTATTAAAATTAAATTAAGGGAGAGAAGAAGACGATAAAACGGACAGATGATTTAAGCAACTTTCACCGGTGTTCTTCGTCAGTCTAAATCATTCGGTGTAGACTCGTTCACAAGCGAGTCCGACGTTGCTAACTAGTACTTGTCGTCGTGAAATCCGTATTTAAATCGGTAAATCATAGACTTGGATTTTCGCGACCAGCTCGCGCATTCAAATTAATCTGTCGCGCGCGTTACCGATCTCCTTTCTATTTTATTTAATCGCACGGCACGCTTGATGATAATTTTTGCAAGCTTTGCACCTTTGTCTTTTTCTTTTTCTCTTTTTTCACGATGTCAACGTCAAAGAGAAAGGAATCGCTCGCAACAGGCAGAATCTGTCGTGCGTCGAAGACGGCAACTTAATGCAACGCGAAAGGAATGTCGCGTAGGTGCAACGTGGATAAATACCTCGTTGGCCAAGTACAATGCGAATGGTAAGTGGAATGTTAGAGATTTGAAATCTATCGACATAAATAACAGTCCAGTGTTTTTTTTTTTTTTTCTTAGCGTGATGTCGAACCTCTTAAGAAAGGGAAAGCTTCGAAATTTTTTTCAATATTTCGACAACCGTGTAAAAACTTGGAAGTTATTCCAATTCTAAAAATTACTGTCACGCAATAGTATTAACTACGAAAAAGATAAAATACATTGCGAAAGTTGCAAGTTTTTCGATAGAAACGATTCAACGATTCATCGATAATGGTTGCTATTCAACATTACGAGACGATAGATCTGCCATAATTTTCAAGATAAAATGACAACTCACATTTATATTATTTTACAATATGTCAATATTCTGCGGCATACATTATAACGTGCTGTTTCAGGTCACAATATTCATCGGAACAACAGGTGGGAAATTCTATTATAACTTGCTGTAGCAAATTTATTGCATGTGACAAGACTGTCATTCTATGAATATGTTGTTCTGTTCATTACATATCATAAAATGTACAGTGAAATTGTAAGTACGTGATAATATAAATGAATTGAGATATCCATAATTAATTCCGTTTTTTTTTTTTTTACTTTCAACAATTTATATGTGCTGTATATTTATAACGTACGTAATAAATAATAATTTTTTGATGATCTTTTAACAATTTTCATCTAAAATTGAAAAAAATGTTATTACTGCATTTTAATAATGAAGTAGTGCCAAATTAATTCGTCTGCGTATCAATCATTTGTTTGTTGAATTTATTCCTCTACAATCTGATTTCGTGTTTGTTTGAAGCATGCATCGGAAGAAGTCTTCTCAACGCTTTCTCCGGGATATATTAGAAAGTATGGACTACAAGACCGTAGCTGAAAAACGACTAAATACCATAGACTGGTATATAAAATATTTCTCGAAATTTGAAATGATCAGTGCATCGTTCTAACGTCAGTAAAATTGGACTGACAATAAGTATCCTCGATTTGTTCTACATGTTTAATAACTTAATTCGAAATTCAATAGGAATATAAATTTGCATAATCATCCGTAATACTGCGCATATATGTACCAATTAAAATGAAAAAAAAAAAAAAAAAAAAAAAAAAAAAAAAAAGATTTCTTACCGACTCCATTCCACAGGCATAGCGCCGCAACAACAATAGTCAATCTGACAAACATCGCGCTACCATTGGTCTACGATATAGTGAAATGTCAACGGAATTGCATTCGACTTGCCGGATACGTGGTTCGATGTGCTCGAACCGAGCCACGGTAAATCGAAACACTTTGACAGTCAGTTCCTTCGATGACATCTATCGAACGGTTGTACGACAGAACGCATCAACTCTGCGAGTACACATCTGTCATTCGTACAAACACGCGTCTGTTATTCTTCTTTGCGGCGATCTGTCGACGTCTTCATATCTGGCGTCGATCGGTAGACACGATGTGAAAACAATCGCAGATGATGCACACGCGGTATTCCTCGAATATTTTGCAATAAGTCCTCTTCTTCGATGATCTCGAGACGATTTTCACCCAAGATCTCTTTCTCTTTCTCTTTTTCCCCGCCAGTATCGCGAGTCTACGATAAAATCGAAGTTGGAAAATATCAAGCGTGAAAATTCTAAATTTAGACGGTACGGCTGACCGCACTGTGTGGAAAACACCAGCTCGAAAGTTCTCATTCAAGTCAGAATCGGCGCGTTAGGTGTCTGTTGACCGGTCGGAGCACGCAAAGCAGCCATCGACTTTCTCTCGAGTCGGATAATTAACCGGCACAGGTTTTTAGAACGACCACGGCGGAACACTGATCGGGAATGCACCGAACGCGGCTGGCGAACCGTCGCCAACGTGAATTTCGAAAAACGCTCGGAATCTATCGGCCTCGATCGGTTCAGCCGCATTAGGCAACTTCAACGTCGCCTTCAAACTCATCACGACTCTCCTCCGCCTTAACGCCAGATGTTATTACACTACTGTCAATCGGTTTCTTCGTCATTTTTCACTGATTCGCGACTCGAGACAGAGAAGTGACAAGTTCGCTCGGTTGGATCATTGACCCGAATTTGGGGAACCGATCTGGCGCATCTTTCAGGTGAAATTGATCGCGTCTCTAGAACCTCTCGACTCCGCAACGACGCCGCTCACGGATCAAACTGACTCTACCTGCGGCGCGACGCGATCTGTTCGCGAGTGCCGCGGCAGCCATGCCGATCAAACTGAAAGAACGTGTGCCATTGGCGTAGAGATTCAAGGATCGTGCATAATATACACCTCTGTCACGATCTTGATCGATTCTTGATCGAATAATTCGATTAATTTTTGGCCTACAGACGGAGACTGGATCATTGTTGAGTCACCAATAATCATTTTTCAGCGATTAAACGAAGGGCACCTTACTCGTACGTGACAACTAAAATAATTTGAAAAGCACGATTGTTTATATAACTCAATAGAATAATAATATACAAATCTAATTGATAAAGTGACGAACCTGAACTGTTTGCGATAGAATTAAAATTGATCCAACGCTTATCGTCTGAGGACGATAAGATTTTTTTTATTCTTGTTTTTGTTGCTTTTACGTTCAGAGAAAGAAACTTTTCATTGAAAAGTTATTCTTTCTGGAATACTTTGTGAAGTTTAGAACTTGAACTGGGATTATAAGTTCATTGTTTCTGTTTTTTTTTCTTTTTTTTTTTTTTTTTTT